CCTACTGTGGCCAGGTTCTGGTAGTTCTCCAGCATCACCTCTCTGTAAAGGTTCCTTTGTTTTGTGTCCAATAAAGTCCACTCCTCCTGGGTGAAGTCTATAGCCACATCCTCAAAGGTCACTGACTCCTACAATCACACACACTTGGATTTGAGCCAACTAACATCTCCATCCAAGGTCACAGGAGATTGAGGATGGAAACTCAATGTTACAAAGAGCTGGGAGTTCTCCAGCAGTCTATGCCAGAGTTCAGTGGATAGACCTAGGCACTCTTTATATCCATCTCACTACTATTAATTTTCACTTTCACATCTTACTTTTAAAGACAGGGTTGGCCAGGTTGGCTGACCCTAAACTATTTTCTCACCTTTACCTACCCAGTGCTGGGATTGAAGACATACACCACTAATCTAGTGCCTAGACTCCATCCTTACATCTTTCTTGAAACATCCCATTATCTCACCCACAACCAGACCAGATACTCTTTCTCATTTATTTCCTTCTATTTAAACATGCTAAACACTCTGCATACACTTGATAAATGGTGACAGGTGAATAACGTCTTTCAGAAAGGGGAACATTCATCCTCTTTATCAACTATCAGAACACAATAAAATCAGAAATACACATGACCAGGGTCATGAAGGTGAAGATTAATTACAAATTACTGAAATACTGGAATGATTTCACAGTAATCCTAAACCAATATAAAAGTTTACTTTTCTCATTGACATGATAAAATATATGACAAGAAGCAACTTCAGGGAGGAAGGAATTATTCTGGCTTACAGTTTGAGGGGATATAGTAATGAAGAAATACAACTAATCACTCAGTCCTCGAATAAAGTTTTATTTTGTTCCAGAAACTCTGGAGAAAAATGTCTGCCTACATGGAAATGTGTCAGCCTTATGGGTGTAATGGCAGGATACGCTTTAGTCACACCTGGTAACTATTTGTCAGGCAGTCAGACACCATCCTGTCCATCTCTGTCCTTTCATTATAAAAGTAGCATGGGTCCCTAGAAAATGAACCTAGTGGGGAAAAAAGAAACCAGAGTTATCCATAATTCTCACACTTACAAACATGGATGTCATCCTATCCTAGTTCAAAATCCCCATATAATCCAACACAGGAAATCAATCAATCTCTCTCTCTCTCTCTCTCTCTCTCTCTCTCTCTCTCTCTCTCTCTCTCACACACACACACACACACACACACACACACACACACACA